TCTACTAATTATTTTAACAATTATGTTTACTAAGAGTCTATTAAATATCAGCTATTCTGTTCGGATGTTTATTCAAATATACGTCGGTAGTTAAAATGGGTTGGTGAACTATTTGAAGGTATTCAACTGATATTTGGAGTGTGGATTTTTTAATTATCACCTAAACCACATGTGTACGGGGGTGAAAACACAAATGACCAACAGTAGTTAGGAGGTCTACAGATTAAGATTGAAGGCCCAGGAGGACCCTCTTTCTCCCTAAACCCAAGTCAAATCACACCAACAGTTGACTCTAAAACAGATGAGAATGCCTAATAGTACTAAGATCTGTGTAAAATAAAAAGAGGGGAGAGATTCCTTTTTAAAACATGAAGAAACAATCCCAGAGAGATTAAGTAATTTGCCCTCGGTCACATGGTCTCATGTCTAGAAAGCTAGACATGGTCACATGGCTAGAAAGGTGGAAAGTAAAAGACAGAAGGTTGAAATCAGCTTTATCTGCTGCCCCCCTCTCTCTCCTTTCTTTCTCTCTGTTTCTTTCCCTCTCTTTCCTGCAATACTGCTCTCCAGGCCTAGCTAGTTCTTTCTTATCCAGTTTCAAAACATGAAATTCATAACTAGGAACATCCTAACATCTTGAAGATATATATTGCACACAGACAGGATAGATTTCCCCTCTTCTTGTATTAAATTTATTTTTTCTAATTGACATAATAAATGTAGATATTTATGAGCTGCATTGTGATATTTGGGTACATGCATACAATGTCCAATGATCAAATCAGGTTAGTTAGCATATCCATCACCTCATTTCTTTCTGTTGGCAACACTCAAAATCCTCTCTACTAGCTATTTGAAAGTATACAGTAAAGTGTTGTTAACTGTAGTCTCCCTGTAGAGGTATAGAACACTAGAACTTATTCTTCCCATTAGCTGTAATGTTGCATCCATTGACCATCTTCTTCCTATCCCCCTCCCCCTACCCTTACTAGTCTCTGGTAACCATTATTCTACTGTGTACTTCTACAAGATCAACTTTTTAAAAATTTTTTATTTCACTTGCTTTTTTTTTCAATCTTTTTTTTTTTTTTTTAATCTCATCACTCAGATATTGGAGTTTCTCAGCCTCTCATGGCCTCTGTCCTCAGCTGAGAGCCATGAGAACTCTCCAGGGAGTTCTCAGCCTTAGTAAAGGCCTCTGAGGAGAACTACTGGGCTCTTCAAAAAGACCCTGAGTTTTAAACAGAGAGTATTCTTGCAGCTATGCTACCATCCAATCTGGGTTCTAGATGGAAATATGCCCTCCAAGCCCTTTTCTCTCCAGCTGTTGGTGCTCAGGTATGTATCACAAGCAGAATCACTTAGAGAACAGTCGATGACACTGAGATGACTGAGCACATAGAACCAGGGCCATACACTGAGCTCTCAGTCTCAGCCACTTGCTAAATCCCCGTATCACGTTAGTCAAGGCAGTTCTGAGTGGCTGATGGACTCAGGATAGGAGACCTGTGGCTCTAGTCCTAGCTTTGTCACTGTGTGTGATCTTGTAAGAGTCATGTTCATCATTTTGTGTAATTCTTGCTTCCTTTTATCTCTTTTCATATCATTTGGAGCACTATTTCCTTAATCTTTAAAAGTGAAATTGTAATCTCTACCTTCCCTTGCTTAAAATTATGTAATGATAATGAAATACTGAAGTGGATTTGACAGCACTTTGTAACAATCAATCTCTATACTAATATAAGGTCGTGATTGTCCTTAGGAGTAATTTTGCAGACTGTCACCAACACAGATGCTTGTAAGAGTAAACACCTTTGTGTATAATTATATGAGGAACGCAAGTCAGAAGGAGTCAGAGTATCATCGGAATTATAGCTCAGCCTATCTCTTCTCTGTCTCTGTCATAAACCCTAAGATGGCATCCCTTTATTTCAGTAAATTAGAGCTCAAGGGAGGATCAAGGGTGTATCAAGTACTCTAGTGTAAGAATCAGCTGACCACTTCTCTAATCCATGATCTGGAGGTGAGTGCCATTGAGAAAAAAAGTGTAGAGTAGCTGCACTAAAAATTATTATGTTTAATCCCTAATGCACCTCATCTTTCTTTTCACCTATTTACTCATACATTCATTCAGCAAACTTTATTCTGTTTCATATCTGTGCCAGGACTGTGAACTCTAGTGACGCAACAATTTTGTCTCTCTGGTGCTAGTCATGTCTTGCTTTTATCTTTTTCTGCTCCTTGAACCTTGTACATTTGCCTCTTATCTATACCCAAATTGTAATATGCACAGAGTGTATTTGGAAGGTGAGATAATAGCTGGGGTGGAATACTACCAATACAGCTCCTCACTAGTTAGACAGAATGACTATCTCTTGTTTGTAAATGTGGGCATGCAATAAATGACCTCTAAATGATTTTTCTGTTTCTCAAGCTCCCTAAAGTGCCTCAGAGTAAGATGCATGGAAGCCAGCTTCATTGTGAGTCTGCTGGCTGAAAATCCATACATACAGTTAACCTCTAGTTTGCATCTCTCTTGAGCAAATGGGAAATTTTCTTTATTGTTATTTCTTACAAAAATTCTGTTCCCATTTTCTCTCTCAATGTTCACAATATCAGAACCGGCTTGTCTTGCTGCCTATGCTGCCCATAGTTTACTTTCCAAATCCTATTATATTCACCTTTTCCTTCATAGCCTACCTCCTCTCCAAGTCTGCACACCTTTCCTTCATTTCTCTTTTTTCTAGGTGTCCCTCTTTATATCCTTTTCTTATTTCTCCATTTGAAGCATAAAATAAGAAGTTTTATTAAATATTCATTTTTGTATTATTATCTTATTATTGTTTATTTTGATATGAAATGTAGGTGAAAAAAGCTGTATAGGGACTTCTATTCTCTCTTCACCCTCAGCCCTTCAGTGTCCCTCTACATTACTGAGAGAAAGGAAGCCTTTTGACAGAATATTCTTGACCCCCTATTTTTCTTCCTTAAAAAAAAACACTGATATCCTCACCCATCTGTATATTTTCTCTTAGAGAAAAAATTACACAGAAAATAGATTTTTTTACTTATTCCTCCCACCCACTGGTAATTTAAGCCCTTGTAATCCTTCTCCAGTCTACTGAAACATTCTCTGAAAAATCAATGTTGACCTCACCATCATATGTACAATGAATTTTTAAAAATCCTTATCCTACTTCATCTCTTTTTTGTAGTCAATGGTGGTGACTTGCTTTATTGACATATATATATACTACTATTTTCATGCTGTTCCTCTGATTCCCCATTCTCTGTCTGTTTTCTAGCTCTGATATTATGTTCTATCATCCTTTAAAACCTTCTCCAGTGTTATAAATGGGACCCCTGTCCTTCCTTTCGCAACTGCATCTCCAGCAATTTTTTTCCATATTCATAGCAGATATCCTATAACTCAAGCCATCACCCAAACCAAAGATCACTATATATAATATCTTTAGACACTCTCCCCAAGAATTCCTTTCTAAATTTAGGTTCAACATGTCCCAAACTGAACTTGGTCCCCGAAACATGTTTCCTCTCTGTCGTTATCCATTTTGGCTCATCTGATATTATTCATACAATGGAAATGGCTATCCACAGACTTGCCAAAGTCAGGAAACTTACAAGTTTTTTAATTTACTTTTTAATTGTCTGGCTTTTGTAACAGCTGTGTACTATGCGACAGTAGTAGGAAATATGGTGTAAAGGCTGTAAACGCCAATAATTAGGACGCTGGAGTTTGGACAATGGGTTTACATTCCATTCTCAAGCCTTACTTGCTCTTTAGCCTTACTCTGGTCTCTTTACCTTTCTGTGCAGCAATTTTTTCTCCTGTATTATCCTCCTAAGGGTGGAACCTATCTGATGAATAGGTGTCAGAGTCAAATGACATCGTACACAGTAGGCATTTAGAAAAGCAACAGATACATAACATATTTAATAAGTATCATCTATTTTAAGCTTTTCAGTGTATGTGATAATCAATATAGTAGTCACACTATACTTATATGCATAGATCACTATAGAGCATTTTACAATGTAATCAAATAAAAGTTCTGAAGGCAGAGCAAAGAAGAACTCAGCCCAATTATTATAGGAACAGACCAATTCTTGGAAGTCAAATAGATCCAAGCCCCAGAGGCAAAGCTCACTCTACCTTCAGCTTTAATTTTATCATTTTAAGCAAAAGATTAAAGGCTATTCCTGCTTATTTCGGATTTCTCTCCTTTGCTCCTTGTGCTTCAGACCTGATGTGCACCTTTTCTTCATCTTCATCTCTAAATCTAGGCCTGACTTAACTGCCATGATATTGGAGACACACATCTCCTTCGATGTCTCTCAGAACTAAGTCCTAAAGCCCCCTCTCCTAGAATGATTTGTTTTCTAAAGTCCCAGCTTCTTCTGAGATGTTCCTCAGTTCCAGGCTTCAGATTTGCACACTACCATGGACCTCTTCACCCACCAACAGCTATTACATAGATTCAGGTGAGGCATTGCTATGGTCCCAAGTTGGAAGCTCAAAGAGTTTAACAAGCATTTACTGAACACTTCCTCTGGTTTCCCCTGTGGGCTAGGCACTGTGGATTGAAACAAAATCCCCAAATTACAAATATGCCTAAAGGCACATTATATAAACCTGATCCTAGTACATAATTATATAAAATGATCTGTAGTACCAATTCTCCATATATAAGTCCATGATACAGATTTTTAAATGTTTCAGTGATTGAATTGGAGAAATTTTTAGGGAGGAACATATGAAGAAAATGCCGTCTTAGGTGACTTTGTTAACCTTGAGAGGCTACTACTGGTGGACATACAACCATTAGGCTATATCACATGGCTTCCAGAGGTTATAATAATCTACTGTAAAAATTCCCTTCCTAGACCCTCTAGAAAAGGCTAATAGATCAGGTGCCCATCCTCTACAAACCCTTCCTGACTCACTGGCTCTGGGACATTTAGGTGAGTGAGAATTCAGCCCTGTCACTATCCAAGAATCTCATTTTATATTGCAGGTTGGAGAATCCAAGATTGCAGAGCCATGACAATCCCTGATAATAGCAGCCTCCAGAAAGCCACTTTCTTTCTGACAGGCTTTCAAGGTATGGAAGATCTCCACGGCTGGATCTCTATTCCCTTCTGCTCCATTTACATGACAGTTATTTTGGGGAATCTTACCATCCTCCACATCATCCGTACTGATGTCACCCTCCATGAACCCATGTACTATTTCTTGGCCATGCTGGCCTTCACAGACTTGGGCCTTTGCCTTTCCACGCTGCCCACTGTGCTCGGCATCTTCTGGTTTGATGCCAGAGAGATTGGCATCCCTGCCTGCTTCACTCAGCTCTTCTTCATTCATACATTGTCTCTAGTGGAGTCCTCAGTTCTATTGTCCATGTCCATTGACCGCTATGTCGCCATTTGCAACCCACTGCATTACTCCACCATCCTGACACCAGCATGTATTGTCAAGATGGGACTGAGCGCGGTGCTTAGAAGTGCTCTCCTCATCCTTCCCTTGCCATTCCTCCTTAAGCGCTTCCAGTACTGCCGTTCCCACGTGCTGGCCCATGCCTACTGCCTGCACCTGGAGATCATGAAGTTGGCCTGCTCGAGCATCGTTGTCAATCACATCTATGGACTCTTTGTTGTGGCCTGCACCGTGGGTGTGGACTCCCTGCTCATCTTCCTCTCATATGCCCTTATCCTGCGCACTGTGCTGAGCATTGCCTCCCATCAGGAGAGACTTCGGGCCCTCAACACCTGCGTCTCTCACATCTGTGCTGTGCTGCTCTTCTACATCCCCATGATCGGCTTGTCTCTTGTGCATCGCTTTGGTGAACATCTGCCACACATTGTACACCTCCTCATGTCTTATGTGTATCTGCTGGTACCACCCCTCATAAACCCCATTGTCTACAGCATCAAGACCAACCAAATCCGTGAACGCATCATTAAGAAGTTTGAGTTTGTAAGGTCACTTATGTGTTTTCGGCAGGATTAGGTTAGAGTAAGGGGAGGAAGATTTGGGCATAATGCTCACAGGTTTCCTTGGTTTCAGCTATGCTTTGGCAAAATAATAAACTTCTGATTATCAACTAAAAGGTAATTAGCTGCGCAATATACAGGCAGTGTGATGATAGGAAAATTACCTACCTCTCTGTTCTTCAGTTTCCTTAGCTGCAGCATAAGCCCGGAGGTAATTATACTAACTTCCTTTCTCATAAGGATGTTGTGATGATTAAATGAGATAATTCATGTAAATACCTAACATGGTGCCTGAAAAATATACAATTCTTAATAAATATTAACTATTATTACTTTAGAAAATTCAAAAAAGCACACAAGTTTAATC